AGTCGGCATGCCCCGCGCGCGGCGCCGCTGGGCAGGGCTCGAGCGGAGGCACTCGCTTCCCGGCAGAAACGTCTTCCCACAACCCGCCCAGCCGTCAAAGAGAACCCATGCTATTGTGTGAAATTAGAACAAAATTCTAAATGGTTCTAACAGGGTAGTCACAAAAACATGTGCTCGGTAACAAAGGGCAATCCTTTCACCCAGATTTTTTGCATAGCCTGAGAAAAATTCAAGTGTCTGCCAAGCGTCCCGGTGAAGAACGACGCTGCCAAAGCTTGCAGTAATTACCGCTGCCCTCTCCAGCTCTTGCTGCCTGTGCCCCAGATGTCCTCCCAACCACAAGTCCTCTGGGCCAGCTTGCTCCAAATTCCCCCTCGGCACGCTCCCAGCATCCGCTGTGGCCGTGGAGGAGTGGGCAGGGTGTCCCGCGGCATCCTCTGGGAAGCCCCTGGCCAACTGGGAAAGGCGCTGGGCTAACTGGGAACAGCCGCCCGCTGCAGTGCACCCTGCCAGCTCCGCACCGGGGCTGCTGGAGGGCTTCTCGTCAGCCCCTGCAAGGATCAGCCCCAAGGCAGCTTTTTCATGCTAAAGCAGTGTTAGGATTAGCTAAAAACCTCCCGTCCCGGTAACAGGCTGCGTTAAACGCAGTGCTGCTGCGCTGCGCCGTCTCCCTCTGCTCCCAAAGCTTCTGTTCCGTCAGGTTTCCGTGGGCCAGGGGGGAAAGCACGGCTCTGTACTTTCTTAACCCATCCTCAGCCGGTGGGAATCGGCACAGGGATCTGCGTTCTGCTGGGAAAGCAGAGCCCGCAGGCACTGGAGCTGTGCCCGGCTCCGGGTGAGACCCGTCGCAGCGTCCGTCCACGAAAGCATCCCAGCGGCTCGCGCTTCCCAGGCGTCTTTTCCTCACTGAAACTCATCCAGATCGCCCTCCGCTTTTGTTTTGCCTTTTCCCCGGGGTACAAATCTTGCAGGAGTGACCGTGGATCCCCCGGTGCTGGTGGAAGCAGCTGGGAAGATCCCGGGGTGCGCTCCTGAGGTCCATTTGCAGAGACGTAGCACAAACTGACTTCAGCAAAAGGCTGAAAACGTTTCCGTGCGACCGAGGGGTGATGCAGCCCTCTTAAGGTCTGTTTTCTTCGGATAAAAACAGGCATCTGGGGGAAAAACCCTACGCCAGCTGCAGAATCTTACCGATGGGTGCTAACGAGCCATCCCTGCCCTTGCGAGCACCAACGGCTGCGCTTCCACGAGAGAAGGTGCCTGCTGATGTGAGAGGGGTCAGGAGGCTCCCGGATGACTCCTCCCCTGAGTTTTTTTACTGATAATACTCGGTAGTTTGCACACGTGGCACAGAAAAGAAGCGGCACAGATCCTTAAGACTTTGCAGAGAGAGAAAAAAAAAAATAACCCGAAGCCACTCAGCCCCGAGAGGAGGGAGCCGTTCCCTCCAGCTCAGAAGGTGTCATTCTGGTCATGAAGAATTGGCTTGAGCTGCACCAAGGGAGGGTTTGTTGTTCCCCATCAAGGGATGCGGTGACACCCTGAGGTGTAAGAGCACCTTAAACACAGTCGATATTCAGATTTAATTTTCTAAACTCAGCCAAAGGCTCGTTAGGGTACGTGCCCTTCCGCACTCGGCTGTCTTCGTGGCGAAGAGCTGACGATGAAGAGAATTCCCCTTTCCGAAAGAAGCGGCC